CGGTGGGCGGCGGCAGCATATTCACCTGCCCCCGCGCGCGGTTAAAAATTGCGAGGAGACGATCGATCGCCTTTGTCGGCAGATCGAGTAAAAACACGCCTCGTTGATTTGTAGAACTACTAGGAGCGAGTAGTATATATTTTTCTCCTACATGTGATGTGCGTGGTGACGCGGACGTAGCATAGTACAGTTTTGTGGGATCTGAGAAGAAGGAACCCCACTGTCTCCGGGTTCCGGGTTCTGGAACGCCTTGATCTATCTGATGCCTGCGTTGAATGAATGATCGATCCATCAGGCCGGCGTCCAGGTGACGCAGTCACGCAGACAACTGGACATAGAAAGGGCCAGACTGCCACATCCACATCCCGGTGGAAATTCTGCAACCTGTTCGTTTTGCTGTGGCTTGTCGTAAATGATCCTAAATTTTTAGTCGAAACAGTATTTTTCTCTCATACAAATCAGCCAACAGTACTTCTTCACGAACCAGCAACGAAACGACCCAGCCAACCGAACAGGCTGCTGGTCTTCCTGCTGAGCTGGATCAAGCAACGGATCAGCCCTGTTCGTTTTAACTACTTTTCAGCCGGGTCAGCTTATTGCTTACGTACCCGCCGAACATCTCGTACGCAGATGACTTCATGGCATGTACCAGTGCGTACTAGCTAGTACTAGTACGTTTTCAGTTAGCCAGTGCTCGCTGCTCGTTTCATCATCGGTGCTGGTACGTTTTTCCCTTCCGCTCGTACGGAAATTCATCCGGTTTGTTTGGACTCCTTTGTTTTATAAGCTATGGCTGAAAATACTTTGGCTGGTTTGGTATAAGAGAAAAATATTATTCGTTAGCTGATAAGTCATGGCTTATAAATCAAATACGACGAAACGAACATACTGATTATCTGGTCGCCCCAGAGTCCCATCAATATACCCATCGCGATGTTTACGCACCGGTCCGCACGCTTGCCGGAGGACGTTTGCGGCCGCGAGGAATATCCGTAGAGAAACGCACGACTCCCGCTCCACCGCCAGAAGGAAAACACCGATTTTCCTCGAGCCCCCGCCACCCCTTGAGCGCACGCGTCGCGGTCGGCGGGCCGGCGCTCTACAGCTACGGGTCGGAGGGAGGTCGGAGCCAAGATTTTACGGCGGACCACCCGCGAATCCACCCAGAATCCGGGCAGCCGAGGGGGAATGGAGGGGCTCCTCTCATCTCATCTGTTTCCTGCGGTGGCGGGGAAGAGCGGCGAGGTAGGTAACAACCGAGGTAGGCAGAGCTGGCGGGGCCGGGGTGGTGGGCGACTCGATGTCGACGGCCAGCAGTACCCGCGGCCGCAGCGCCGGGGGGCGCGGAACTAGCAATCCGACAAAGCGAGCGAGCGCGGCTGGATGCTGCCCAAGTGGATGGTACGCACGGTCTACGGAGCAGCAGACAAAACGAGAGCTGCAGTGTCCACCCGCCAAACGTACATGGCATTGGAGGCAAGATCAGGTGGTGGTGACGGACGAAGAGACTATTTTTATGTACGTTTGCCGGGGCCTGGAGCGCAACACACCAAGCATGGCGAAGGTTCGCTGCAGGGCGGCAAAGTGCCACTGTGCCAAGTGCAACCCGGGCAGAGAAACGACAACGCAGCACTCTAGTCTACTTCCTGTCTTCTCCGGCGGGGTCACGCAGTCGTTTTTTATTTTTGAGCTGACGAGGATGGGCGCAAGTACAGATCAGACTCTTCAGGTTGAGCGTATCAGATTCAGATCAGTGTAGAAGTAGGTACTCTGGCTGATACTAGTTTGGAACCGGCGTTGTCAGTTTAGCATTTCTGCTGCCCGGGCGTGTGTCTGCTGCCATGCTTGCTTGGTTGATAAGCCATGGCTGAAAGTACCGTTAGCTAATTTATTGTGAAAGAAAAATACTGTTTGTTAGCTAAAAAATTACGGCTTATAAGCCAAGCGAACAGGACATGTGTTCCGTGTCTTTGAATGCATGAAGGTAGAGTAGCAATCAAGTCAGTTGCGATCATATATGGGTCGTCTTCTTCTCTAGATACTACTTGCACATACAGCATCTCCCAGTTTCGATACCTGCTATGTCTAGTAGCTCCAGAATGTATAGCAACTTCGTGACCACTTGGAGCTGAAGATTTGCACGCAGTACAAAAGATAGTACAACAGCAGCCCGCAGGATAAGCCAACCCTTTCAGTCTCGAGAGGCTTTGGGCGATTCAATTATTCAAAAGGCAAGCGGAAGAATCCAAAACATATCCACGATCAGATATGTATACTACTTGTGCCTGACGACGCTTGGACTAGTCGCCACTCACCAGTACACACCGCAACTTGTCAAGGCCTTGTTTAGATTGCAAATTTTTGCAACCTAGACACTGTAGCACGTTTCGTTTGTATTTGACAAACTTTGTCCGATCATAGACTAACTAGGCTCAAAAGATCCGTCTCGGTATTTACAACCAAACTGTGTAATTAGTTATTTTTTTACCTACATTTAATACTCCATGCATGCGTCTAAAAATTGATGTGATGGAGAAAGGATGAAAAAACTTGGAATTTAAAGGTGATCTAAACAAGGCCCAAGTGCACGAGCACCACTTGCATTGGGCTCCAGAATATTCAGCCGCGCTTGAGAACACGGAAACTGTATTGACGCAGCAGCAGCCAACAGGGCCTCGATTATTCTCCGTGCAGCCGTTGCACGGGGCCGTACCCGGGCCGTACGGTCCTCTCATCCTGTCCATCATGCAGGCGTGGCGCTGGCGCCAGGTCTAACCGTCCAAGGTTGGCGGCCGGATCAATCCACTGTTTGTCAACAGACGTCCCAGAGCTTGTGCTGCACCCGCTCAAAAACCGGACAGCCATACACACGCCTTCTTCTCTCTGCAAGGTCAACTTCTGTAATTAATTTTCGTTTTCCTTAGATAAAAGTCAGTTCCTGTAACCAACCACAAAAAAACGTCACAGTGAGAAAGCCAGCTCGATGGTAAAGGCCCGTTCGGCTGCTTGATTTCCGGCTGCTGGCGGGTACTGCTACAGTGGGAATCAGCCGACACGGTGGATTCTGCCCAGCTTCAGCCGATCAAATAACAGCAGGTGTTTGAATTCAAAAAAATAGCGGCAAAGGCAACATTTTTTCAATTCAAACACATGCCAGCATCCAATTACAGCCCTTACAACATTCAAATGAATTGAAACAACAACAATGCTAACTCATGGCGGTTCTCCATGACAGCACTTAGGCCCCGTTCGCTTGTCTTATAATCCGTATTTTTCAGCCGGAACAGTGTTTTTCTCTCACAATAAATCAGCCGGAACAGTGTTTCGGTTTGTTTTTTCAGCGAAGCGAACGGGGCCTTACATCATGTACTGGTATAGCGAGCAACGTATGCACGTAGGTCCATGCTCACAGTCAAGAGAACGTTTTTCTGTTGAGTACTGAAATGTGTTTTGTCGTGCATCACCAGCAAGGGTATCAGAGCATCTCCAGCAGTTCCCTAATACCTCCCTCTATCCCCATAAAAATATCATATCAGGAACAGCTATGCTTTATCCTTGCTCCAACAGTTTTCCAATATCTCTCTCTTTTTTTTATGGTCACCAATATTTTCATTCTCTCCTTAAAGAAAGGGGGAGATACAACTCCTCCAATACCACGGGGACTATCCCAACTACCACTTTTCAACTATATTTTCTCTTATACTCTTATGGGACCCACCTTTTATATGGAGATTGGGAAAGATATATTGGGTACCCACCCGTCAATCGAGGCCGTACGGATAGCTGACTTTGAATGATCTAGTTGAGTCGGTGGCAGTGCCACATCAACTTGTCTTGGTCGAGGTCTGAACGCCGGACGCCCGGTTGGCGGTTGCTTAATAAACTTCAGAGACAAGAACGTGGATAGCGCAACCAACATGAGGCCGTCTTGAGGACGAGCCGTAGCTCAGTTGGCTTCTCGCTGTGGTTCGAGCGGCCGGTCCTCGGAATCAACCAGGAGCCTCACCTCGGACATTTAGTTGCCTCTCGCATAGATGTGCCATAATAATTAAGTGACGTGCCCGTCACACTCGGAGTCTGGTGATCTTCGAGTATCTTTCAACTGCGTTCGTTGTTCTGGTATAGTTGTAGAGGTTTATTTGTATATCGTGTGTGTGGTGGTGTGTGTCTGTATCCAAACAGATACTATCGTTGTACTTAGACGAGAGGTAAAAAAAAACATGAGGCCGTGTTGCGAATTTTCGATGGAAACTCGACGAAATGTCCATCATCATTTGTCCCGAGCCTCTCAAAAACGCTCCCTGCTTATCTGCAGGCGCGGACTTCAGTCACATATATATTCAGTGGTGCCGGGCAAATTGGGGGTCTCGGACCCTTGGATTATCCTCTGGAAATCTAGGGACTTGGTTGTCTCGTTGATCAGGACAGATGCTCTCCTAGTGGGCAGGGCACTTCGCATTAGTTCCTGCCGCACCTTTTTTTTTGCAGGTGCACTCCAATTATCCAGGAACGTGAGCACTGAACAGGCATCTCGGGAAATTTTTCAGTGCCTGGGCGTGCAGCAGGTGTACTTAACGAGCTCCCTTCAGCTACAACATGAATCCATCGTACTCGATAAGTATAGCGGTGCACAGTACACGATATTAGAACAGTAGAATTTACAGAATGAACGTCAGAGATCGAAAATGGTATGCACTCCAACATCCAGATAATGCACACAGCATTCAGAAACGCAATTTCTGACACTACTATCTCAATGGCATGGCAGGGCAGGTTTAATGCACCTTGGTTTGTGACAATGTCTGTCCTATAGGGCAACAAAAATTGAGAGCAGACGGTGGGTTTTACTGGCATAGGGTTACACTCTGTGTTTCGTATGTACCAAAAAGAAATATGTTCAGTCGAGCGCCCAACACTCATATTGGAAATTGGGAACACGAAACAACAAACTAACTCATTGTTAGGGCTTCGCTTTGACAATTCTTCATCAATTATCTACACTAGACCTGTAGACCATCCGAGGATGCTTTGTTATTGTACTTCTTCCCGGACATCATTCCTCTTCCTGCGGCCAAACCCACATCTACAGATGAATTCAGGGACTGGCCCTTCATTCCCAGCAACCCAAGGATGCTCAGCCGCAGCCTGCAGCGTGATGCGATCCCCTGGATCTGCAAATCAAGCACATGGAAGGAGGGGGCAGGGACATTGCGTTAACAGAGGACATCTTGCACAAAAACTTAGCAAACTCCAGGTTATCAGAATCATAGGGTGAGAAAGCGACCAAAAAGGCACCTTTGCAAAGAAGCCTTAGGAGCAAATCAGCAAGTTGGGGGTTCATGTCTCCAGGTATTTGCACAGGATCATTGGCAATCTATTTGTAGCAGACACTCAAGTGAGTTTAATGCAGAGTAAGTAAAAGCAAAAGGAAAGGAAGGAAGGCATTTTTTACACCTTATCATAAGTTTCCTGCAATGTATCCCCAAGAAATGGATAATGCCCAGAAACCATACAATATAAAGTTACACCAACTGCCCATGTATCAGATGCCCGACCATGGTAGGCTGAACCTGCAGTGAAATAAAGAGAGATACTTCTATCATATTTAGCAAGTCCACTATACCGAGCAGCTAAAGAATATTTAGTAATTTAAGTTAATGGCAGTAAAACTCTGGGCTGTTCCATTTTAGTTAATTTGTGATTCTGCGATCATATAGCTACAACAATGGAACATCCAGGAAATGTTGCTTTCCAAAAAACACCATTATATTCATAGATAACCTGATGATTGACTAATTTTACGTGCAGCATTTATATAACTTAAATATCAAAGGTAGTCAGTTGTACCTTGACAGCACTCTGGGGCAGTGAAAACAGGAGTGCCAGGAGATCTCCAAAGCATATCATCATCATCCTACGTTGCAAACACATAAGTATCACTGTACTAATATATCAGTAAAATACCAATATATAAAATTTTATAGTCCAGAAGAATTTGCCACAAAAAACACACATACTTTGAAAAGATTGAATAGATTTACTTGAGTAAAAGAATGTAACAAGTTTCATCCAATGATAAAGTTGTGGGCCACCTACTTAACAATGAACATATCCAAAACAAGAACAAGAAAAGCATCTTAGTTTGTTTCCAACTCAAGTTATCTTAAAACTACTCATGAGGACAGGGAGCAAAGATCATATTTTAATTTTTTTACATAAATATAAACCTGGTTTGAGGAACTCTAAATCTACAGAGCCATTTTTTACCAGAGCAAGAGCAATTAACGATAGAAAGACGAAATTAGGAATTTATCCCTTTCAACGGTGGATCCATTTAAGTGGAAAAAACAATATTTCCATAACAAGAAAAAAATAACTAAAATACAGAAGTTACAGGAGTACAGAAACCACCTCAAAAACCTGGCTAACACTGAAATCCCCTATCTTCACATTGCCGGCACTGGTAACCAAGAGATTGTCTGGTTTGATATCACCATGAATAATGTTCTGTGTATCAAAAGAAAAAAAATCGGTGTTCCAAGCAAGGGAAACACACAGCATAGTACAAAATTGCATAACATAGAAAAAAGAGGCAATAAAAAACACATGTATAAAGAAATATATGTCCAAAAATGTGGTAGAGAATCATCAACTCGAAATCTGGGAACTGTGGAATTCACTCTTGTAGGGTAAGCACAAATGTGAACCATGGTTGGGAGTTTAGTGCTGTTGTCCTGATGCGGACCAGGATGCCAGGAAACATGGTTTGCATCACGATTGCTACCATGCAGGGGAACGGCCAGATGGCGTTACTTGAATTATCACTAACAGAACATACGCCGACACGCAGGCACTCAAACTAAAAAACACCTGAAAGATTACAAGCGCACCAGGACAAATCAAACAACCGACCACCAGACCGAACAAAGATCAGCACCCAAAGAGACTCCAACTCAGAGGCACCCGCAACACCTCTAGGAGAAGCTGACTGACGCTAGGATTCTTGCCCTCGCAAACGCATCCGTTACAGTGTTTCCAAAAGAACAAAGCTATTAGCATGACCGGAGTGGAATACTTTTCACTGATGATTATCAACTAATAGCGTAACCTCAAACCACCTGGACCAGACCAATCGATTGTAAGATCTCCAAACTTACTCCCTCTGTCCCATGATAGATGACGTTTTAGCTCTGGGCACGGGAATTAAGGAGTGGAAATGTTGTAGTGCACAGGAAACGAGAAGGAGAGAGATAGATAGAGGTGCATTGGGAAGTGAGAATGACAACTAATTTGGGACAAGTCTAGAATGCTCAAGGTCAAGTATTATGGGACGAAGGGAGTATTTAGTGAAGGCACAGTCGACTAGTAAATGTTTAATTGTCTCGTCCACCTGATCACAAAGACGGCACAAATAGCTCAGTGGTTTCAGGCAGGCCTTGGCGCAGAAGTCCAGCAGCGGTTATGACAAGCTAACCAAATGAAATATTTCACTATGGGTGATATCCAAGATTTCCAAAGTCTTTGCCGAAATTGAAACTTGGTGGTTCCTGATGCAGAAGCCGACCAGATGTGCTTCTTCCACATCGTCTTGTAGTTCCACTCTAGCTAGAAACTCCAAAATCTGAATAATTCTCCAGAACTTGGATTGTGACAGTTATCTTCCTAGAAATACGTTTGGATATGAGAGCTGCATAATCAACGAGCTGCAAATAAAATTTTCAAAATCCCAGGACTCTAGAAATTGTTCTAAACATAATATCGATCATCTGATATACTATTCGTGTTTCTAAATACTAAACTTTGAAACTTTGACGTGAGTATTCATCTTGACAAACTAGTTATTGAAAATGAAAACTGAGAGCTTACATGAGAGTGAAGATACATAAGACCAGATATTATGTCTCGCAAATAATTTCTTGCAGTAGCTTCTTCTAAACCATTATCACAAACCATTTTTCCTTCAACATACTCAAGAACTGGCAATGCAAATGAAGAAAAAATGTAAATGAGTGATGGGTCATCAATAAAAACAATTGTTTAATAGTGGTAGCATAATTACATACCCATGTAGAATTTATCTATGTTTGGGTCATCAATCACTTCAACGAGATTTACAATGTTGGGGTGATTCAGCATTTTCATTATGGATACCTGTCTCAAAAGAAAAAATACAAACAATGAAAGGGGGGGCAAGCAATTGAATACTGTACACAACAGAAAATGCAGCCTATTAACATGTAAAATCAGGATCGTATGCTACACATGCAGTGTGCTATCATAGTGCCAGTTACCAAATACCAAGACACTATGCTTCTACATTTTGACAAGAAAATTACCATTGATTCTAACAATATCTCAACCCTTAATCCACCTACATATTGGCGATGGGCCATCTATTTAACCTCTTATGGCAGCTCAAGACTATGAATGAATTTCATCAATTAGGAAAGGAAATGAAGCTACAAATCTGTTTTAGTTATTGTGCTGAGGATTTGTCCTACAAAAATCATATGGCCAATGAAACTGAAAAGGAACTAACAATGGCAGCAAGCAGATAGTTTCTGTGTAAACAGAAGATATACGAACTCTACCCTAGGTCCTTTTTTCTCTTCAGAGGCTAAATGGGGTCCTATTGCACAAAAAGTGCCGAGTTAACTGCTTATCAATATCTGAACATTAATTCATCACTGTAAGAGCACCATACTGAAAATAAATGTTGTTGGTCGCCTTTGTATCATATAAATCCATTCCCAATATGTGAGGTAAACATTCTTATATGCTAATGAGCAAGGTACCTCATAGTTGGTTTTTGTTAAGTAAACGGAAGTTCATAAACAATTGGGAGACTAAAACAAGATTTCCCGCACCGATACAATAGAAAAAGTTCCCTACAGTTACATGTTCAAGTATCAGACAGAACAACATCAATTAGCATTTGGAATGGCTAGCTTATGCATGATAGATCCTAGAGAGATGTCTTGAAAGCATGCTAAAAACTTTAAAAGAAAACTAAGTCACATATGCATGACAAAAAGAAAATATGAGCATTGCATGGACAAATAAGCTGACAAAATCATCACCTCCCGAAGAACATCTGTCATGGCGGTTTCTGTGCGCATACAACACGTACTTTCATCATGTAAGGCTTATTCAGAACCTGAAAGAGAAGGGCAAAGGCTAAAATTCCATAAGTGAGACATCAGCACATGCACCCAGCACATATAGAAGGGCTAACAATAACAGTGTTGAGAGCAAAGAAAAGGAAATGGTGAGACTGAACGAAGTCCTGAAGCAAGCAAATTAGTTATCAGCCAAAACATAGAGAAAAACATATTAGAAAGAAACAAAGTATATAACTAATAGCTACCAGTAGAAAATAGCTAATTATGATATTTAACAACAATTTTTAATCGTGAAAGCCTGCTTATATAATGAAAAGGTATCATAAAAAGACATGTATGATAACATCACAAAATAGAGTAGCAGAAAGCACTACCTTCACTGCATACAACTTCCCATCTTTAATGTTTCTGTACATAACCTGTTCAGCAGCAAAGTAAAAGGAATTTAGACATACATTTGGAAAATTTAATATCAACATATCCAAGGTATCTTACCACTTTGCCGTAGCTTCCAGAACCAATCTTTCCCAAGTGGACAAATTGATTGACCATCTTATTAAAATTTTCATCCTTAACATGCCAAAAGTAACAACATTATTATAGTGTTCAATGTAAAAGGTAGATTCTCTCATACAACTTGCTGCCTTCACTCAGCATGCAAAAGTCAGTTATTAGAACTAAGCAGGCAATAAACGTGGCCAAGCTCTTTGATGGCTAATCAGAACAGTGAACAATTAATATCAAATGTTATGTGTGTATATGTAAATAGATCATATGAAGTGAGATTTTGCTGAGAAAGTAAAAACAGGCTTTTCCTATCACACAATAAAGGATGCACATGTTGATTGGGATGCCGGAAAAGATGCATTACTTCTTTATCGTTCCAAAAAAATGGTTAATTTATTCAGCACCCAAAAACGTAAAGAAGATGCACCTATCGCAATCCATCACAAGTGTTCACTTCAAGAGGGTTAGATTGTAGGAATGATACAATGTACAGTTCTGAGTTTTTGTAGCAAAAATGTTTAGCCAGTCTGCATTCGGCAACTACTGATGGGCATGAATAACAGCTCATTTCCAGCAAGAATGTGTGCAACTACTAAGGGGGCACGACTTTTCTGAAGTTTATTTATTTTTTCCAAAAAACAAATTTATGCAAGGCCAAATGGTAAAAAAAAAACATCGAAAACTAACGGGAGATGTCACATGTCAATTGCTTGATATGATTAATAAGCCAGGTTCTTATGAGTTGGACAACCCATGCATAGATTGGGAAAGAATAGGTGGGATCTCAATAGCATTGTTTCAAATATGGACATGCAAGTAGACAGACAGCTGTACAAAAAATTGAAACCTTAAAAGAGGTACCTCTGAGCGAAATACTTTTTTAGTCTCTTTAACTGGGATCTCTCTACATGCAAAGCCATTTTGAATTCTTGACTGTATAATATCTTCAGAACTCTTCCTCGGTGGTCCATCATCACTTCCCTCAAGATAGTCAGTATCATCTCTACCGTAGAAGCTTCTATCAGGATCATCTCCATTGTAGAAGCTTCTATCAAGATCATCCCCGTTATAAAAGCTTATATCAGGATCATCTCCAGTGTAGAAACTTCCATCCGGATCTTCAGCTGATTGACGCTTCAGTAAATCTTCAGATAACATGCCATCAGCATCCTGATGTTGATGTACAGGTACACTGGGCTTCCTTAAAAAGCTAAAGCAATTGCAGCAACCGATGTCCGTAAGGTCCGCCATTCAGAAAGAGTAGGCACCAGAAACCCTAGAATGACAAAACAGGTAACAATGTTAAAAGAAACATCGGAATTGGAAAGCCATTTCTCTGCTACTTTCCTGGCTACCGGATCACCGCTGCAGATGAGATGAAACTACAGTAACAGCATACATGCAGAAACAGAAATATCGTTGCAGTTAAACTTGATGCCAGAAAGCCACACCTCAGAGGCTCAGACATTCCACTCCCACACAGATTAACCAGGTGGAAGTACTTAAACACAAAGAGTATCAGCACGTAATCGGCATAAAATTGCTAGGGTTAAACTTGGGCCCGGTAACAACGTCAAGGGATTCCACCTCCTAGCAGTGGCGGACCTAACCAAATTGATCCGATTCCATTCAATTCTATGACAAAAAATTTCATTCAATTCTATGACAAGAAATTTTATTCAATTCTATGCTCCGATTTCATTCACAGAAACAAATCCCTAACAAATAATATTGAATCACACATCAATTTCACATATAAACAATCCCTAAGCCCAAATTTACAGTCCAGTGCTCGCTTTCAAACCCTAGGGTACGAGGTTTCGGATTTGCGAAAGCTCAGAACTTCAAAAGCACACTCACTGACTCACCGGTCCAGGGGCACTGGAGCGCTACTCTGCAGCTTAGCGCACCCGGCGGCCGGCTTCGGCGACGCGCAGCCTGCTCAGCGTCTCGGCGCACAGGCTCGGCAACGGCGACTGGCGCCAGGCCGCCAGGTGGGGCGGCGGCGGGCGGCCGGCGGCGTTTCCAGTCCTCCGCAAACGTAAATCGGCCTCGGTGCTCGGGGGCGGCAGTGCTCGCGCTGGAGTCCGCCGGGGCGCCGTCCGGCTCACGGTCGAGTGTCGCGGCCTCGGGGACACGGCAGGTTTCGCGCAGTCGCGCTGGGACTCGCGGCCTCAGGGCCTCGCGACGGGGATGTGGGCTTCTTTCAGATCTTTCTTGGGCCAGATATTTTATGAGCTATAAAGTTTTTGGGCCAGATTTTCTGGGCCTACCTGGACTACCTTTGGGCCGGCCACTGCCTCCCACACAAATTAGCACCAAATAAAACTAGCCAACTAGCATCACCACGCCTCGATAACAACCTTCTACGAGGGGCGGAGCCCCGACAATTTTCTGCAAAAAAAAAAGATCGAAGTTAGTAGTCATCAATAGGCAAATAGCTTAAGTTAGGATTCGGGTGCTCTGTTTCGCATAGCAGGAAGGGGAGAGAAGGGGTGTGAACACCTAGTAGGCGCTCGTCGCTAGCGAAGGGCCTGACCAAGACCTGCGCACCTGGTGAGGACGGCTACCTCGGTAACCCAGTCGTCGCAGAGAGAGAGAGCACGAGGCGTGAACGGCGGCGGTGGACCGGTGATAGGCGGTAGCCTAGTCCGGGATTGTTCGGCCGAGGAGTTTTTTTTTGAGCAAATTGTTCGTCCGAGGGGTAGCGCACCCGCACGGTGCTTCTTCTGGGCCGTTTTTCATGGACTGTTCCTATTTTCTCACAATATTGTTTCTTTTCTTCTTATTTTTCTTCTTATTTTTTTCTACTACCGCAATCATGTCCGTGCGTTGCAACGGAAAAACATCTAATGACAACAGTACATTGACAAATTACATGCCTGAAATCTAAAACTAATTGTCATAAGCAGTTTTATTTGAACTAGATCATCTAAGGAGGTACATCATTAAACATATCTCTGGATTCACTTTGGTTCCAAGTACAGATGGTAACATCAGTGTTTTTTTGGGCAATGCATTGCTAGTTCAATAAATACAGGGGAAGCGATAGACATTGTTGAATAATGATCCGGTTTCCGTATTTGTATCGGAAACGAGCGGGCAGGACCCTCCCCCACAGCCGCTACCTCGGACTTCGAGTTTTTCACCAACGGCGCCGGAGACGAGCCCAAGCTCCACGACATGGCGGATGAGATCGATGCCCTTCGCGTGGCGACCTAGAGGAGAAGCTCGATGCTGTGGGCCATGAGAACCAATTCATATCCTTCGAGTCCCGCAGTCTCGATGTTCAGAAAGCACGATTTTCCCAAATGTTGGAAAGGTGTTTCCTCTAATTGTGCTCCTACGTGCAAGGTCGTGCGTGTTTAAAAGATGGAACTGCTAAGCCACGCGCAGGTTGAGGGTACATGACATCGTCATTGGTTGTCCTCGCCATGTCAGGGGAGTGTGCCAATCTATGGTGCACCACCCGGACGTAGGTTCTTCGGCACAGCACCTAATCTATAGGGTCGATTGAGCAGGCCGGTGGAAGTGTCATACTATGCCAACCCTGTTGAGACACACATACGAGGGAGGGGCCAATGAGTGTGTGCGTCAGTGTGGAGGGTATAAAGGTCGTCTCCATTTCCATGTAAAAGGTCCTGACTTTTGCAAAATAACATAGGCAGAGTCCGTTTCTCCCATGATGTATGAATTTATCCCTAAATGGGGCATGAACACGGACTCACTCAGTGAGCTCTTGCCATCTGAAACCCTCTTTTGAACTTAGGCTAGCTTTAGCTACTCTTTTTTTCACGATCGTGTCGTGGCACGTTTTTTATTAAGCAGAAGAAGATTATTCGTTACAAAGTAACCTGGATACGGTAATTAACCCACGATTACCGAATCTGGTGGTCCACATCTCGCACGTGGTTGTGATTACGAAATGATCAATTTGCGACTGGGCGCCAGCTAACGGTGGTACTCACAGCAGCGACATTATCTAGCAACATAAGATGCCTGTAACCTGCCAAGCACCAGTCGTTGCATCCCTCCTCAATCCGTTGGACTAGTTGCGCCGTCGTCGTCGCCATCCTGTTGAAGGTTCTGGCGTTCCTCTCCTTGCAAAGCATGCAGCCAATGAGGAAGAATAGTGAATCGAAACCGCGACGAATTGGCTTCGGAAGCAGTTTCCGGTTACGTAGCCACAATTGCATCGAACCGTGTCCTCGACTCCTCGTGAACAAGCACAAGCTCGTCCAGATGCAGTCGTCGTAGCCACCAAGCCCACACCTCTCTGTTGAAAACACATCCAAGCAGTATGTGGCCCATCGTTTCGGCGCCTTGATCGCAGAGGACACAGCTATCAGAGTTTTGCAGCCCATGTCGGAAGCGTCTCGCCGCAGTCCAGTACCGATCGTGCATAACTAGCCACAAGAAAAACTTCACTAGACGGCGCCGATGTTTTCCATATTTCTCTTGCCCCCGGTGGCCTGGAAGAACCAAAGAACATCGCTCCGAGCACTGACCGTCAGGCGGCGTGAGCGTCCAAGCGAATGTGTCCGGCGCATCCATCACGAGCTGCACCTGCTTCAACCTCTCCCAAAGAGTGACAAACTCTGTAAGAACTTGCATGGTTAGGGGGTCAGTGATGTGGCGAACCCAAACTTTGCCGCGGAGCGCATCCGCCACAACCACCTTCCTCCGTCTAGCCGAAATTGCCGCGAAGACAACAGACGCTAAGGTCTGGATGCTGGAACCGTCCAGCCAGTTGTCAGTCCAGAAGTAGGTGGATTCGCCGTTCCCAAGAGCAAACACCATTGCCGCCCTGAAAAATGGCCACTACAGCGCGCTCATTAGCTCTGGGAAGCCCATACCAGGTCCTATTGGTGTCGAGCCTTAGCTACTCAGGCCATTTTTAGATTCAAAAAATTTTCACCCCAAAGTGTCACATCGAATCTTGTGGCACATATATAGAGTACTAAATGTAGACGAAAAAAAACTAATTGCATAATTGGGTGAGAAATCACGAGACGAAACTTTCGAACATAATTAGTCCATAATTAGACATTAATTACCAAATACAAACGAAAAATGCTACAGTAGCCAAACAGTAGCCAAACCCAAAAAATTTTGGAAACTAAACGCGCCCTCAGCTAGTGTTCACTCGTCGATAGCTATTTATTGCCATGACTTTTTCTAAGGATGGCAGCGGGTCACGTAAGGTATGGGTGGAGTAAACTCTCGTTTGCGATGAATTGCCTAACGTGTAAAATTTCGCACACACGAGTTATTATGAATGGAAGCATTGGAATTCTTTGTATTTTAAGCATTAATGGGTGAAGCGACATAGACATAACTATGGCTAGAATCCTATAACCACACCCGCACTCGCAGGTGAAATTTTTACCCACTTCCACACCCGTCAAGTACAATATATACGAGTACCCACATATGTGGGATTGCCCTCCCTAACTATTTGTATATCCTAAATGGTTGCTTCCCACGTACGCATCATCAAGCCTCTTCCTCACTTGATGTGCCATCTCCAAGTCCTTGGTGGACTCAAAGACCTTGGGATCAAGAGCTTCATAGATCACACTGAGCGCTTGATCATTGAGTTATAACTTCTCTTCTTCTCTTGGAGTCGGGTTTTTCATGTCAAGCACATCCTCTTCTTTCAACAGTTATAGTTTGTGGCATCAAAGTGTGGTCGCTCGACAACATGATTTGTAGCCATCTTTAACACCACAGGTCATAATCAATGACGACTTGACTCTGATACCACTTGAAAGAATCTAGCACTACTACACAAAACTGTACCACGGCGGGCAAAAATGCTTAACCGAGGCGGTTTTTGCAACCGCCTCGGACGAAAGGTCACAGTTAATCGTGGCCTTAACCGAGGCAGTTGCCCTGCCCGCCTTGGTTAATCGAATAAAAAAAAAAGAAAGCCCATGGATAAGCCCGGCGAGCCCATCCATAGGCCCACCGAGCCCATCCACGCGCCGCCGCGGCCGCAGCTCACCGGATCTACGCGCCGTCGCAGCCGTCGCCGGATCCGGGCACCCGCTCGCGGGAGAGGGAGCGGGAGGGCGGATCTGCCTCCGGGGAGCTGCTGCAGGGCCCTCGCTGCCGGATCCACCGTGGGGGAGCTGGTGCAGGGCCCTCATCGTCGATCTGCGAGGGGGGAGGGTGAGGACGAATCCACCCTAGATCTGAGAGGAGAGAGAGTGAGGGGCATACCTCGTCGTCGATCTGCACCGCCGCTA